CCTACTAATAAAACAACCTGAATACACTTTAAAATTTGGGTACCTAAGCTAAACACTATAAACCATCAAGGATCATGTTGTAGTCTAGTCTTATTCGAATTACCAGCAATAGGTACCTAAAACCAATACTAGGGATGTGTCGTAACAGGCGTTGCACCGTGGAGGCTCCGGAGCAGAGGTCTCTATTAGAGGACCCGGTGCCTCCATTTAAGTGTTGCGGGTGGCCACCGGGGTGGTTTTAGTGAGGTAAAAATCCCATCACCGTCATCAAAAAAAAGGTACCTAAAACCACTAGGAATAGGAGACATAATATCATTACTCCAATTAATTAATTACTTTCATTTCTCTTTTAGTTCGAAGACATCTGAAAACAGGCTGACAAGAGACAAAGGCTGTATTGTGAAGATAATCCTATTTTCATAACTATTGCCTGAAGCACTGGAGTCTAGATTGAACGTAAACATGGACCAGATTGCCTAAGGCTCAGCTCGTATGCTCTGCTGGTTTGACAAATTAGGTCAGCCTGTCTTTTGGTAGGAGTATTTATTGCTTTTAAAATTATTGTTCTGGGGATATGAAAGACGTAGTAAGAAGGATGATTACAAAAGAATAACGTTGCCTTACACTAAGATTTTCTTCTGTGTCGTGGATGCGTTTATATAACATACAATTTCAACTATGTACATAGGACACTCAGACTTGGATCAACAATTTGTGGATCACAGTACAAAAAGTTGTTTCGTCCGGAAATTGAACTCGCTATGCGTTGCGCGGCACTCAGTTGCCCAGCCACCACGCTAACCGCACGGTTTTGAAGATGTGGTTTTGGTTGCTTTAATTTCATTGTAACTCTCGTAGTTTAAAGTTAAGGTGTGTCCAAACATCGAGCGGCAATCGATTGGACTATTGCCGCGCACGAACATGTACCGTAAAATGGGGTGAATAGGGATCCAGGGGTGAATAGGAAAAAAACCAGGCATCATTTTTAACGCTAAATGCTAGTTTGCAAATCGTTCCAACTTTTACCATTTTTTGAGGAATAATAGTATCTAGATTATTGGAACTTTTCTATGGCTACATTGAACAAGTGTGAAATCAGCTGCAAACTGCCAAAAATGTCAATTGAAAATAGTATAAGTAAGATACCGGTTATTAGGTAGCTTGGAGACCGTCTGCGTGTGCAGTATGAGGTCGAAGCAGAGCTACAAAATACGGAGCCGCTGTCATTGTAGTTTGAATACGAAATAAAAAGTGAAGCGTGTCTCGGACTGATCTGTCGCGCGCAGCTGCCGCGCACCTTACACGCCGTGTTTAGACACACCTTAACCGAACCGACAGTTCGCTGATGAACTTTGACAAAATGGGTGTCCAAATATGAACATTAATGAATTAATGAAAAGCTTTAAAACTTAGCAACTTGCATCTCATCCACAAACACGTCTTTTTCTTTTTTTTTCGCCACTTTATCAACCCCTTTTTTCATTACCTAGTCCCAAACTCCTTGAAAACAAAATCTAACCTACATAGGTATCGCTAAACATTGTTCCTGGCCCCTATTCTTTGGCACAAAAGACGTAAGAGGCACTTAAACCCAAGAAAGTGCACAAGCACCCGTTCACGTGGCACCCATTGTTTTTCACTCTTAGATCTCCCCTTTATAGATAAGGGGTTGGTTGCGGACTTCAGATCGTCTTTGATAGACCAGGTATCAAGATTTTTATTTTATATTTTTATTCTTTGAAAATCATTGTTTAGGTTGTTGTTTTTAAGTGTTGGTGTAGTTGTGCCTGGTTTTGGGGTTGTTTATTACAGTTATATAGTAATAGTAGTATTATTTTTGTTGCTTTTTGATGGATCGGTGGCAAATGTGTTAGTAAAAATCGTTTTGATGAAGTATACAGAGTATATGAACGGGGCTATCGGTAGAGGTCGCCCTAGACTGACTTATACTGAGCATCTGGTCATATAACGCCAATGTTGACAATATATTCAAAAGGGGCCAAATAAAAGGCCAAATAAAAGTTTTAAGTGTGGGAGAGCCATGCTTCGGCACGAATGGCCCGGCTCGACCGGAGTGATACCATGGCCTCACAGAAAACCGACGTGAAGCAACGCTTGCGCTGTATTTCGTCGTGTGAGTGAGGTTACCGGAGGTCCAATTACTCTCCCCTTCCCCAATCTCCCCAATCCCTGAATCCCCAACGATCCTCAAACTCCTAATCTCCAAAAGGCCGGTAACGCACTTGTAATGCCTCTGGTGTCCATGAGCGATGCCGCTCTCCGACGTTCTCGTTCGCCCGCTTCAGCTGTCTGCTCGTTTACCGGCTTATACCATAAAAAAAAACCTCTACCGACGAGCATGCATGGAAAGACTGATGACTGTTGATGATGAAGCGGAGGAGGTATGTAAGTATCTTAGCAATTGACGTTCCAGTCACTGCCTACCCATAAGAGATAGGACTTTTTACACCATTTATGTTATGGGCCCTATGTAACAGGGGGTGAGCCTATTGCCATATACCGGTCACAATTCCAGACTTCGGGATACTAATGAAAATAAAAAAAAAACAAGCATACTCTGCCTGACCCAGGAATTGAACCCGAGACCCCTTGTCCGGCAGTCACGCTTACGCTCACTCAATCTAACTAAGCAGTCATTTGAAGAATAACCAAAAAAGTAATGAAAAGGTCATATTTTATTCAAAACTTTTATTTATTTCAGTTTTCATTCAGTTATCGACTCCAAAAACATTTGATTATACTAATAGTACAAATATTTCTAAATTATTAAGTACAAGATTTTACTTAAAGTAAATTTCAGTAAATTAATCTAGGAAACGCCTTTGGACTATTATAATAACTATTACATAATAATTAAAACAAAACGTGTTAAAAATAAAAAGACAATCATTAAAAAAAACACAAAAACTTTGACTGAATAAAATGACAAAATTACTAAAAAAATAACGTAAAATTTCACACAATAAAATGCAAAACAATTAACAAAATGTAAAAACATTGTTTTATGAAATTAAAATAATTATAATTATGTAGTATTTACATAGCCACTAACTCAAATTCTAATCTAAAAGTAATTTTCAGTCTCAGTCAGATAATTATCTGATGATATTTTATTTACATAAGCTAGGTACTTAAATTTATTAAACACAATACATTATATTGGCTAAAAATTATTTTTAGGCCCATAAATAAATGTAATTAAAATCGATAGTTCGAGGTGAAAAAAAATTAAAACTAAAAACTTATGACTTATTTTACAAATTAAACATTTATTTTATTTAAAATTAAACTTACATTTAATCAGTTTTTGCTTAAAAAGGATCTCTATTTGCCAAGAACACGCCCTAGATTTTATCTTAACATTCTATTCTCTAAAAGAACTTATTTAAAAAAAAATGAAATAGTTAATTTTAATTCTAAGTAATTACAACGTAACTTAAACTTAGAACAGATAACTTAAAATATTATTCTTTTCTTTGACATGAACACTTAAAGCTTTTTAATTTTAGGCTCGTTTGTCAAAATTTTGACATAATTAAAGTCGTGCGAAGTATACTTAAAATGGAGACAATTCTTTGCATCAAAGTTATTTTTAATTATTTTTGCACCAACGCTAAGTAAAACGCTTTATTCTTCTTAATTACTACGTGTTCTCATTAGTTTTCAGTTTTTATCAAAATTATTTTATTATAAGTTGATCAAATACCACGTCGAGTAATGACTACACTTAAGAAGTTTTGCTAATAATTATTAATGACTTTCATTTTGTATATTATCAATAGTCATACAAGGTATGTTTTACCTAATACGCCTAACATGTAGAAATAAATACAAATTTAAAGAAAACACTAATGTTTTTGTTTTGCTTTCTGTCACTGTTAGGTCAAATTCTAAAAAAAACGTCTGGGGTTTAAAACTCCAATCTATGACGTTGTAAGTTTACAAATAGTACCCACTAAGTTTGATAAGAAATTCGAAAAAATATACATAAACAAAGTAATCTTACTTTGTTTACATAATATTGAATTTTGCAACTAAAAACTAAAATTAAAATCCGAGTGAATAGGTTGCTTAGGGCAGACATGCATCGTAGACCGCATCATCGCTATCACTAGGCGAGATAGTGGCGAAACATCAAATATAAAAATATAACTTCAGTTACTTTTTTAATTTGAACGTGTGCAGAGCTTTTTGTAATTCATTGATCGTAATCTGAAATATTATTGTTAATTTATGCTATTCATTTTATTTATTTGTTTTGTTAACATTACATAACATAACATCACGCCATTTATCCCCGATGGGATAGGCAGAGGTACACATTACGGCACTCAATGTGTATGTCACTGTACTATGTGACACCCACTTTTCACTCTTTATGTTACGAGTCCCATGTAATAGGGGGTGAATTGTTAACATTAGTGCAAATATAATTAAAAATCAACAATTTGCGTCGTGTCTTCGACACGGTAAAACATTTTATCTTTAAGATTAAGTATAGCTATACCTTATAAAAGAGTTTGAAGTTACATGGTAAGTTAGAGTTATATTTTTATGTAGTATAATAAAAAAAAAGTGTTTTTAAAAAAGAAAAGTAGTTTTAGTTTTAAATTTGCAAAAAGTTGGTAAACTTATTTATGGATCTGTTTTGTATTTATAAAGGTCTTTATTATCTGTTTTACTTTTTATTTCAACAATACTTTCTGAGACAGATCTATGTCACATGCAACTAAAACCAGTTGATTAATTTAGCCGTAAAATAATTATAAACAAACAGATTTTTCCGTTACAACAGAACATTACTTTCATAGATTGTGACGACTTTAGCTGCTCTATGCTTTTCATTCATAAATCAATTTAAAAACATCAACCAAATAAAAAAAACCACTCTAATTACCATGTCACTTCCTCAATTCAATTTAAAATCTTTTAATATTTAAAAACATTTGATGTATTTTACCTAACTACTCATCATTTAATTAAACATGTGTCCCCGATGTCAGCTGGGACCCATTACCTGAAAACGAAAAGTAATATTAATAAAATGCAACGGTAATCATCATTTATTATATCTCTCATAACCCTCGGGGATAGGAGAAATAAATTCTGGTTTATGATGATTGTGATTGAAAAATAAATTTAAAAATTCGTCATATGTATGTTACGAATTTCATCCGACGAAGGGTTGAACTGAGGCACATTAAAATTGTAACATCTATCACTTTATACTAATAGTTATTTCATGGATTACATTTAATGAGGGGCGAGATAATTGCCGTATTTTTTTTTTAAGGGCGGAAGATCATCGAATGGCTTTTCCCGCCTAGGTGAGGCGTGAGTGTCAGACTCTTACTGACTAAAAACCACCCCGTTCCTACTCCTGCACTTCTTTAAGTTAAGTTCTCCGCGGCTTCGTATTGCCGTATAATCTAATCATCAACGTCATCAACAGCCAATGGACATCCACTGCTGGATAAAGGCCTCCCCCTTAGTCCTTAACATCGAACGACAACTCGCCACCTGCATCTACTGGCTCCCCGCAACTCTGGCGATGTCGTCGGTCCACCTAGCAGGAAGCCTGTCCACGATAAGCTAATATAAGCTAATCTCTGAATTAAAATGTTCCATTATAATGCTGAGAAAATTTTACCCGGATAGCAAATCCAAGAGTTATGTTTCCGATTACTCAGCCAAAGATTCAGTCCAGACTATAATGAATCTCATTCCTCTAACTAAAAGTTAAACCGAGAATTTTACTCAACTCATACACAATCACCTGATATAAATCCCCAAACTTAGTTCATATAAATGTAGTCTCTAAACATCCGTAATAAGGTTTATAATGGAGCTAGTAGCCAGTTGTCACCAGTAGTGAGTTCCTATTAAGTAACAGAGGACAATCCTAATGATATTCGCAAACACAGGAATTTGTGTCTTATTAACCAAACAGATAAGACACAAATTCCATCTTTATCCCAAAGCATTAAGGTTGAAAATACTTCGTAGTTGTGGTACAGCTTACCTTTGGTAGTGATCTGATTGGACTGCAAGTTTCCTTGACTGGACGGCGGAAGTATATACAAAGCTCCTGAAGACTGCGAAGATGATTTAGGCACCTGAATAAAATTGAAACTTGTATAGTGCTGATAGAGTTTAATTCACAATATTTATATTTACAGAAGGAATTGCATTGTTTCGTTATGTTGGTCTCTAAAATAGAGTTTATGTAGTTCTGATAAGTGTGAAATTAGAATACTCGTGCGTAATTTTTTGTCCCTCGATTTGATAATGGTCTTTACATTTCTATTTTAAAACTGATTTCAATAAACTCACTTCAAATAGATAGAAATTCATTATTCATTAACTAGCTTCTGTATGAGAATTTGTACGTGTAATCCAGTTATTTCCCGTTCCCGTAAGACTTTTGGGAAATACTTAGATAAAATCTATAAAGTATCATATGTGGGTCTCCTGGTTTTGAACAACGCCCCCGCTAATTTTCAGCCAAATTGATTAATCCAGTCTTGAGTTTTAAATAATATAGATTCTAATATAGATTCTAATGGCTATATAGTTACATCACAAAGTGAAAAATTAAGACATAACATAACATCACGCCTTTTATCGCCGAAAGGGTAGGTTACAGGGGTACATATTATGGCACTTAATGCCACTGTACAATGTAACATCACTATTTATATTATGAGTCTCATGTGAGGGTGAAAAGGGAGCTTTTTATTCAAGACCCCTAAAATAAATTAAAAATCATATTATATACACAATCACATAACAAAATGAACGGTAATGATAATAAGATATTCCCTAATTAACTTGGGTAACCATAACACACATTAGACCTTGGGGTGTAATACGAAAAGTTGGGGAACACTAAACGATAGCCACCCTCTGCCTAAATAATATATGCTATAGTTTGCTAACGACTTTTGAAGCTTAAAGTTCAAAGTTACATTTAGTGGGCAAAGCGAATATTAAGTTACAAATTCATGATAAAATTTTAAAGAGGTCTAAACTAAAATGTGTATTACATAACTGTTTGATATAGATATATCATATTTTCTATCTGAAAGGAAAGGTTTAAATTGTTGAAGTTTTTTTTAGAGATATGCCGTGCGAAACCTAAGTAGACTAGAAATTTAAATAACAATATTATTAAAATTAATAATTTTTGAAAGATTTATATTACAACGACCAGTCTCAATAGGATTGAGTAATTGATAAAACTAGAGAGGTGATGATAAAACAAAAAAAAATGATAAAACTTGACAATTATTATACTCTTTTTTCTTAAACGCTGACCAAAAAGACAATCCGTGAAAAAGTAAACTTTTTGGGACTTTATTTGAACATTGTTAATACTAAACCAAATAAAAGAAAAGTTTAAACAAAATAAAAAATCTCCCCAAAAATCCTGACATTCCTAATCCCCAAAAGGCCGGTAACGCACTTGTAACACCTTTGGTATTTCGGTTGTCCTTGGGCGACGCCGATTTCTTACCAAACAATACTTACTTGAGGCTGTGCACCACTATTGGTTGACGATGATGACGCCATTGGACTGGTGACGGGCCTCGAAGACGATGATGATGAAGGTGAAGTCACTGATGGCACTGTTGAAGAAAAATGTGATGTTAATGGTGTTTTGAAATTACTTTTTATTAAAACTAATCATGGTTCCATAGATTTTAATATAAAGGTAATCTTTTTAGGTTGTCTATTAGTATTTATTCTAACGGCTAGTTTTAACACGAGGTTTAGGATTCAACTAGGCTTGCGTTGTGTTTCGGCCAATGAGGCAGTCTAATGTCTATTAGACTAATAGCCTCATTGGCCGAGTTTTGGTAAATATAATGCTATAATAAGTAAGAAACTGGGACGGCAGCCTTTCTGGTGATATACCAATAAAGTAAGTAAAAAAAAACAATACTTACCATATAAATTACTGGGTGGATGATTGGCATTTCTGACAGTATAGTAAGGAGGGGGTGCGGGCTTCCCAACCGGGTTGGTGCTCATTTGTTGAACGTATGCTGTGGACAAAAGATTTGGTTTAGTTTTGTTGTAAGATTCATCATCAATCATCATCAACAGACTATAAACGCTCACTGCTGAGTAAAGCCTCTTCTTACGCGGAGAAGGTTTGAGCATTAATCACCACGCTTGCTCAATGCGGGTTGGCGATTACAAACTTATAATTAGAAATTAGCCTAGGTTTCCTCACGATGTTTTCCTTCACCGTCAGTGGTGTCTAGATAATCTTAGAAAGTACATGTAACTCGGAAAAATTACAGTAGTGCTTGCCGTTGGTAGGTTTTGAACCTATTCTGAACCCTCATGCATGAGAAGCGGGCGTCTTAAACCTCCGAGCCACCAAGACATTTAAAGATTGTTGTAAGATTATAACAAAGAAATATAAGAAAACTAGCGGTTTCTCCCGTGTTGCGGTGGGGTAGTCGCCTATGTCTGATCCCAGACCATAACTTACCGCTGTACCAAATTTTGTTTCGATCCCTTCAGCTGTTTTGACATGATGGAGTTACAAACAAACATACAAATTATAATCAAAGCATTTTAATTGAGAAATTGGCAGCTAAAGGCACAGTTATAAGAGTTAGTAATATCCTTTTAGATGGACCATTCTCAATTCTCAAAAATGAAAAATATTTACAAATTATCCTAAGATTTATAATCAAGAACCTTTTACTCATACGTTATCGACCTTACGGTAAACGAAATAGAGTTCAAAATAGAACTTACCCACAGGAGCACCACCTCTCAAATATGGATTCCCATAAGTGGCAGTATATCTTACATCTTCTCCCGTCACAACTACTCCTGGACCAGACATAGGAATCACTGTGAAAGAAGTACCTGGTTAGTGTTTGTTGAAAATAGCACTCTAATCTTTAACGTTTAAAATTATTAATCGAGTAACGGGATTATTTACATTTTTTTTTTAATATATATAGATAGATCGTTGGCCCAGTGCTCGCAAGTGCGACTGCCGGGCAAGGGGAGACGAGGTTCGATTGCCGGGTCGGGTAAAGTATTACTGGTTTTTGTTATTATTCTCAGTAGTAGTACGCAGTCTGGAATTGTGCCCGGTATATGGCAATAGGCTCACACCCCATTACATGGGACTTACTCCCTATTGCATGGGACTCATAACATAAATAGTGAGAAGTGGGTGTTACATTGCACAATGGCATTAAGTGCTGTAATGTACACCTCTACCTACCTTTTCGGGGATAAAAGGCTTGATGTTATGTAAATATTCTAAAATATGTATATGTATAATGAGTATTATTTATCTCTATATATGACTGCCTCGTTGGCCGAGTGGTCGCAAGTGCGACTGCCGGGCAAGGGGTCTCGGGTTCGATTGCCGGGTCAGGAAAAGTATTACTGGGTTTTTAAAAATTCTCAGTAGTAGCACGGAGTCTGGAATTGTGCCCGGTATATGGCAATAGGCTCACCCCCTATTACATGGGACTCATAACATAAATAGTGAAAAGTGGGTGTTACATTGTTCAGTGGCATTAGATGCCGTAATGTGCACCTCTGCCTACCCTTTCGGGGATGTTATGTTATGTAAATATTCCAAAAATAAATATAATTACTAAAAATAAGTATTATTTATCCGGTTTCTTTGTCTATTACCTATTAAGAGAAACACAATGACCCAGTTCTATTCTAAAGGTGACAATAGGTGTCTATTAAGCCAATCCTTCTATTCTAGCAGAATACTATTGACCAGATACGAACATTGGATAGGAGTTCATGGAAACGAACTAATTATAGTGGACAAAAACCATTGTGTATAGACTGAGCACATTGTATTTATTTATCTTAGTAGGTACACACGGCTACACATCGAGCTTTACATAACCAGTATAAACTGAACGTTAAATGTGTGGAAAGATGATGCAACGCGACACCAGGATAAACTGGTTTTGTATAGATTGATGCGTGTGTACTACCCTACTGAATATAATGAAAAAAAACATTAATTTATTTCCTAAAATTAGTTTTTGGCAAGTTAAATATTCTCTTGACATGTCGTGGTGGCCCTGAGGTTTAAGACGCCCGCTTCTCATGCATGAGGGTACGGCTTCGAAACCTACCAGCGGCAAGTATCAATGTGACACTTTCTGAGTTATATGTACTGTCTAAGATTATTTAGACACCACTGACAAACGTTGAAGGAAAACATCGTTAGGAAACCTGAGCTTATAACTTCTAAATTATAAGTTTGTAATCGCCAACCCGCATTGAGCAAGCGTGGTCATTAATGCTCAAACCTTCTCCGTGTGAGGAGAGGCTTTGCTCAGCAGTGTGGACTTATAGGCTATTGATGATACTGATGATGATGATATGCTAATGTACAGAATAACGCTCTAGCAAATATAACAATTTTAATACTCAAATGATTGATTTAATTTGATATTAAAACAATAATAAGATTACTTGAAGCCTATTCTCCCGAAAATAGCACCTTGAGATAGACAAACAAAGTGTTCAACTTTCAATAATGATTATTGTAATCTAACCTTTAAACTAAGTGTACCTAACTGAAAGTAAATATGACCTATATACATGGAAACCAGATATAACAGGCTTCTGCAAGCGTATTTGCCCGCGTTCCCATAACATAACATTACGCCTTTTATCCCCGAAGGAGTAGGCAGAGGTGTATATTTCGGCGCTTAATGCCACTGTACAATGTAACACCCACTTTTCACTATTATGTTATAAGTCCCATGTAATAGGGGGTGAGCCTATTGCCATATTATATCGGGCACATTTCCAGACTCCGTGCTACTACTGATATTTTTAAAAACTCAGTAATACTTTGTCCGAACCGGGAATCCATGGCATCCATACTCCATGGGATAAGTAAAAGATAATTTTAAATAAAACCGTCAATTTATACCACGACGGTGGCAAGAAAAGCACACGGCCCACCTGATGGTAAGCGGTTACCGAGGCGTATGTACGCCTGCAACACTTGGGGCATTACATGCGTCTTGCCGACCCTTTATAAACCTGTATACGTGGTATACGTGGACAATAAGCCTTATAGTACATAAGACCTTAAAATAAAGTACATAAAGTTCCTTTTATGAACTTACCATCAGGTCCAACGATGCCTCCGAGTCTGCCACAGCTTTGCTGCCGATGTAAGGACCCACAATGACTGGGGTAGGTGGACCCATCAGTGCTTCTTGACAGGGAGCCTGACAGGGAATCTGATGGAACTGGTGGGGCGTAGTCTCGGGAGTAGTCCACGTATGGCACGTAACCGTTGCTTTGGCCGTGATGCTGTGGACAAAAGAGGCAGCTTAAAAAAGGATTCAATAATTTTGAAAATTATCGTAAACGTCTATTTTTTAACGTGATTTCAAACAAGACATAACATAACATCTTGCCTTTTATCCCCGAAGGCATAAGCAGAGATGCATACTACGGCTGTTATGCCATTGTACCTCTATAATGTAACTCTAACATTTCAGTATCTATGATAGGAGTCCCATGTAATAGGGGGTGAACCTATTGTCATATACCGTGCACTTTTCCAGACTCCGTGCTACTAATGAGATTTTAAAAACCCAGTAATACTTTGCCCGACCCGGGAATCGAACCTGAGACCCCGGCAGTCGCACTTGCGACCACTCGGCCAACGAGGCAGTCGACGCGTAGTTGGCACCTTAGTATATCCAAAAATACATACTAATCGTCTCCCGATTAAGATCGGTCAATTTCAGTCATAATTCGTAGCCGTTATTTCAAATTGCAAAACATAGCACCGGAATAATTTAGAAAAAAAATCCTCATAATTTTTGTTACATATAAATCAAAAATAAAATCAGCAACCCAGCAAAGCAAGAGGTTGACTTCACGCTAAAGAGAAAAAAAAAGCAAGAATGAGAAAAAAATACAATTTGTATCTTAAATCAACGTTACAAAAGTACTCTTTGACTTGCAAACATTTCCCATCGTCGTTCATAATTTTTAATTTACTTCTTAAATTACAAAAACGAAAGTTCTTATTAGATTTCAGTAATCTAAAGGAAGATACCTTTGAACCTTTTTATTCTCACAGAGTTGAGCGAGTTCGTTATAAAATATAATATAAAGTGCTGTGCGGACAGAGTGAAAAATAAGAGAGGTATATCTAGATGAAATATGACATCCTGTACATACACGGCTACACCTCAAGATATTCTAAACCATTTTAAAATGGTCTCACCTTATATAATCTTCCCGCACAATCGACGATCAATGTACACTGGTTAACATAGTTGATGTGACCTAATAAGGCTTCTCGGATTATTATTTTCCCATAATTCACTATTGTTATGCTTTACAAGTGAAACTCTACCCACGTATATAATAATATATGTATCCAAGAAATACTGCGGGTGAGGTAAGTCCGCCTGTTCGCGTCCACCCACCAGTGTGCGTCCATGTTACGGAATGCCCTTTAATAATTCCCGAAAAAAAAAACTATCACTGTATAAGTAGTATTTAGTACACATTTGTTTGACCTTTTCACGTTTTTAGTATCTTATATTCATGGTGATCCGTTAATTCGAGGCAAACTGGTGAAGGACGCGAACAGGCGAATTCACCCTATATGCTTTTTCTTGTGAAGCGTACGGTCGAATAAATTTCACAGTACAGTATGTTTGTAGAATTATAGAATTACAGTATGTTTGTATAAATTTAAAAACTAGGATTATGTTAGCAAAGGTTTTGTATGTTTTTAGGAACGAAAATATAAAGAATACGCTGTAATATACGCATATTCTGAAATTTTTTTATTTGTTATATAGCTGTGGGTTACCCGAATTAAAATAAATAAATAAATGTGAACGTGTGGATAGAATATATATATGTAGAATTTTAGCTCAGCCTAGTTTTCCAGGTCTTGATGTGGTTTTTGATTTTTATATAAATTGCCTTAAAGGGATTCGGTAAAGATTTTTGAAAATTACTTTGTTTTCTGAGATGATGTATTTTTTTATTTATTTTTTTTTGTAAAGCTAAGGACTGATCTAGGGGACAAATGTCCCAAATCATGTATCGGCGAGATGTCGAGCGAAAACGGCCGATATCGCCTGACAAATATGGCGACAATGCGCAACTTATGTCCACAGTGACGTTGGTGTTGCCAGGCATGTCGACCGAAGTCCAACATCGTCGCGCTACTTCACCCGACGTCGCTGGCGACACGCGTAGCAGCACATTTGTCCTCTAGTATATCCTTAGCTTTAATGGGACTTCGGTAAAGAAGTCTCAAGTTAAATTTCTAAGTAACACTTTTGAATAAAGTAAGTAAAATAATCTGGTCAACGTTCACGAAATTTTTATAAAACAGTATTTCGTTATAGAAAATCTTTTTCGTACCTATTTGCAAGCTCCCTTTAAATTTCCGAGCTAGAAAACTGCATCAACCACATCCACACAAACTTCACGCATAAAATGAAATTTAAAAATCCATTCAACACGATCTTCATCCCAAGAGTTGGAGTGTAAATATTTAATTTCTAATTCCACACACCGTACTCGGTAGAGACTAACAATAAATCTACTTCTTACTTCTACACATCTAGTTACAGTTTACTAGCACTAGGTTGCCCAGTGCAAAAAGCTGATCCCAATGTGTGATTTAAGAATGACACCATACCATTTTGAATCAATCCGTTTTTAACTCGTCGAGTACCGGTTTTATAGACACAATTAAAGAACAATAGGTCGCGGTCACCGGTGACCGCTTGGTGTTTGACAGTTTAAATTATTTTGAACACTAATACTGACTTCAAACTACGAAGCTATTGTAGGGAATAATGAAAACCCATCCGAGGTTCCGCATAGATCGCACTTGGCGGTTGCGATTGCGACTACTTGATTCAGATAATAAAAAAAAATCTTCTCACTCTTCATCTGTCCCAGGGATTTAAACCTACGAATTTCTTAAGCATATATTTTGAATCTTATTTCATTTTTGTCTGTGTTATGCAGTCTCATTTTTTTATAGGATTAGGATAAGCAATCGGCGCCGCCTATAGACACGTGAAACACTAGAAGCGTTACAAGTGCGTCACCAGCCTTTTGGGAATTGAGGCTATTTTGAGGATTATGGGAGATTCGGGTATTGGGGAGACTGGGGAGCAGGGACCTCCGGTAAGCTCCCGCACACGACGAAACACAACGAAAACCGTTGTTTCACGTCGATTTTCTGTGAGGCCGTGGTATCACTCCGGTCGAGCCGGAGATTATACCACTAATATTGTAATTAAATGGTGCACTATTCAATTTGAACATACCTTAAAATTCAAATTGTTAATAGGTTGGTTGAAATCCCCACTGTATCTTTGGTACTGCTTCATCAGCTCGTTGTCATATCCTGAATCTGGTACTGGTACGGGACCAGCTAGAGGTAGACCCAGATTTGATTTGAGGTGAAGAGTTGGATGGAGGTCGGTTTCTGAACCACCATTGGAGTTGTCCTGTTTGATGAAATGGAACAGTTTGAAACGATTGATAGCGGTTTGTGCTAATCATACTTAGACCTTAGCTGTGAATTAAAAATAATGCAAATCTTCTAAAGGTATTCTTTTGTCAACAAACCTGATAAGGTTATGGGTTGTTGAGGGTTCAGATTTTAAATTGGTATATAGAAATGTATATGTATGTATGTATATATTTTTTTTATACTGGATAAGATGACGTTTGGCCACCATCTCGCCTTTCGTAAGCAAAAATGTTGCATTCAAAGGTGACAAATATCAACGTTTTACGACTATAAATATAAGAAAATAGGTGTAGGCGACAAACAACGCAAGGGGCGTTCCTTCTAAGATTTCGTTTCTTAATTATAAGATTTCGCACAATTGGCAAAACTTTATCATTAAAATGTATACGGTCTATTTATTTATTTATTTGAAAATGTACATATATAACACCACAGCTTACGCCATTAAGTTATACTCTATTTCTCAAATAAATAAGATTTCACTCACCAAGTCACAGCTTCCTTCCACCTGTCTCAGTTCCAACTTCAGATCACTGATATTAGAACTTCTATCACAATCTTTGAACTGATCAACACAAGTCTTTCCTAAATCCGTTATGTCTGGTTTCTTGACATCGGTCTTCTTGGTCTTCTTATGACATAGCATTATAATCAGCATGATTATCAACACGAAGACTATGAAGGCTGACCCTCCAGCTATTATGAAGATCATTGGAAATGTTTCTAGAAGAAAAAAAAACAATGTGTTGATATGGTATTCATTACGATGCACCAATTATAGGTATTCCTAATTAAAGTGAGTGTTGGCTGTGATAATTTTAGTCTTGGACAAAAAGGTAAAGGTACGGTAACACTTTTCTTAAAAGTTATGAAAGCAATTGGTTTCAAACCTCATCATCATCAACCACTTATAAATGCCCACTGCTAACCAAAGGCCCCTTCTCTCACGGAGAAGGTTTGAGCATTAATCACCACGCTTGCTCATGCTCAATGCGAGTTAGCGATATCAAACTGATAATTTGAGATTTCAAGCCCAGGTTTCCTCACGATATTTTCTTTCACCGTTTGTCAGTGGTGTCTAGATAATAATTATTAGAAAGTACATAACTTGGAAAAGTCACATTGGTACTTGCCGTTGGTAGGTTTCGAACCCGAACTCTTCGACATTCAAACCTACGGTCATATATTGCGATTTCGATAAATTAAAAAACAAAGCCTATTTAACTCGTCGAGTACCGTATTTATAGACACAATTAAAGAACAATAGGTTGCGGTCACCGGTGACCGCTTGGTGTTTGACAGTTTAATTTGCAATTCGTATCTAAGATCTCGCACTCAGATGTATCTCTTATATCCATTAAACTATGAGTATAATCGTGCTCTAAAAAGCAGAGTTAAAATTTCTAAAGGGAATATTTTACAACATTAAAACAGAAAAATGTTCTTTGCAGGAAATTTAAAATGTCTTTAAACCAGACTGCATCGTGAAATTTTAATAATCTTCTCTAGAAATTATTCGCAGTAATATTTTCTGGAGTAAAAATTAACACGCTTTAGCAATGAAAAAAAGATTGTTCATAAAAAATGCAATTACAACCTACTTTTTGTTCTTGATTGAAATCTAAATCATTGTTTTAAAAGATCATCGTTGCCTATAATTTAAAGCACAAATTTTTTTTTATCCTAGCAATGCATCCTCAGAATAATCCACAAGACGTATATTGTTAAATATAGGGCGTCCTACAGTAATATTATTTGTGAGCACTTGTCTAATTATGAAGTCTTCTACAAATGCTAAAATAGTCTACATAAGGTTTCTATTCTGACAAAAAATATGGAACATAACATAACATAACATCACGACTTTTAATCCTCGATAGGGTAGGCATAGGGGCACATTACGTCACTTAACTCGTCGAGTACCGGTTTTATAGACACAATTAAAGAACAATAGGTCGCGGTCACCGGTGACCGCTTGGTGTTTGACAGTTTAATGCCACTGTACAATGTAACACCCACTTTTCACTATGAGTCCTATGTAATAGGGGGTGAGTCTATTGCAAAATAAAGATAAAAATATAGAACTATTTTACTATACTCACTGGCTGGCACCAAGTTGATTTCAATGCTGTCCATGCCATAAATGTTGACAACAGTACAATTGTAGGGTCCAAAATGTTTTAATTCACTTCTCCTGATAATAAGGGTTGATTTCGTCATCCTATCCGTTAAGGTTTCTTCCAAAAATGCATATTCCTGAAAGAAAAGAATTGATCAACACACATACACAACATGTTCTGTTACCAATGACTGACAGAGAACATACAAAAAATTAAAATCAGACAAAGATTCGTTTTTCTTGAAGACCTAAGAGGTACTATGTATACGATAACGATCCTACTAACATTATAATTGAGATAGTTTGATTTTGTATTATAACTTTCGTGAGACATACTAAATATATTATGTTTTTTTATATACTTTATTAGTCGACATTTGACCACTATCTCGCCTGATGGTAAGCGATGTTTTCGGCATACTCACGTAATTATTATATTATTAGGTCGCGAAATGCTGCTCATGAATATGAGCCTCTAGCATGGCTTGAAACTAGTGTTCCTCGTCAAATAATTACGTGAGTAAGCTGAAAACATAATTATATAGTTTGTTTTGTTTGTCTCTTACTCTTTTACGTCAAGACGTGTTGAAGAGATCGAGATGAGATTTTGATTATGGTCTGGAATGACACATTGACAAATTTTTATCCCATAGGCACGCGGTCGAAACCGCTGGCAGAAGCTAATTTTTTTAGTAAAAGTCACAAGCAAATATGACTATTATTTAAAATAAAAAAAAACTACATACAAACAGGAAAACTTATAAAAACTAAAAAGTTTTTAGTTGTTCAACGATAAAGGAAGAAACATATTCATTTTGTATCTCCACGACAAATGTTTTTTGAAAAAATGTCCTGTTTTGCGAATACATTACCTACAGTGGTGAAACTAAGGAATTGTTTTTATCTACACAGTTTGAAAGTGCATTTTTTCCTTCTCTTTTGAAAAATATCTGCCTAACTTTTGTTCCGAAGTCTCCTATTTAAATAAGAAATGGATGCCTTGCTTGTTTCCTCAGCATTTTGCGAAATGTGCACTTAAATGCAAGTTTATGGTTCTTTCATTGTTGAACGCTTGGATTTAGACGGGAATGGGGTGAATTGTTGAAGTGTTATGTAACACTAGTTATAAATTAATAACATTACACAATTGTAAAAGATATAATAATATTTCACCGGAACATCATGGCAGCGCAATGAGTCGCCGCTCCCAACAAAAACAAAAGAAAGTTGGTAGCGCAACCAAGTGGCCACCAGGTAAGCGACTCTCTATAGAGTTGTGTATACAACATGTTACTTAAATAACGCACATCCTGAAAATAGTTTGTTCAGAATCGTTAACTGAATCGATATATATATATTTTTTCTTTTTACAAATTCTATCATTCAATACAAAATAAAGAAAAATAAACCTTATGACAAGACCAGTAAGGATGCATATACATGTTAAATTAAAATTTAGTATATGTATGTATTATGATTATATTATAATATTCTAATTGGGGTGTTTGAGGGTGTGCGTTAATTACGTTACATGTTGTATATAGGTACATTGTTAGTAGTGGTTACTGATTGAGCCGCCATGGTGTTATCAAATGTAGCCTTAACGATATGCAGCTACCATACTTATAACTATTTAGCCATTGGTCAAACCAATGTAAGAAAAGGTCAACTAAAGTAATCTGTAATTATTCTTAAAGCTAAAATGTTGAATTGAAATATAATCCTTCGCTCTTTATACAAATTGCAAACATAAGTATTCATACAATAATACTCTTGAAACAATACGTTTAAAAGCAAAGTAAGCAATAAGTCCATACATTACCATGTTAATTACACTCAAAAACAAACCTTACCTGGTTCTGATAAGAGTTGATTTCGGTGCCCTCGAAGGTCCACACGATATAGTCAGGCTTAGGGACGGCGAACGAGACACATTCTATTCTCACACTGTCCCCTTCGACTCCATATTGTGTTTGATTTGACATTATCTTCGGAGGTCCTATAAAAACAGCGACATTAAAGGACCCCATAAAATTTTTCGACATTTTTCCTCAACACTCTGGATGAGCCGAAATATTTTAAGTGGGGTGTGATGAAATTGGGTTTGTACTGACCTTTTTGAAAATGGCAAATGTTATATGGGTACATTATGGATATAAAGTAAGCAGTATATCTGTGTAAAAAACAGGTATCGCTTGAACGCATTTGAAAATTAATAGTACCTACTGATATCTTGGCTACATTCTATGTATATCAATGACTGTTTGTTTTCTTTATTTCATTTATATACGACACAAATTTACTAGTACGTAATACACACTGTTTATATAGTCAAATAGGTACTATCATCAACACTAAATCAATCATTCAAATCATTGTAATATGCTTCACTGGAGTCTTAATTTTTGTACCTTATGATGTTATTCTTCTTCTGACTTATAATCTAACAATGTCATCCATTATGGATGATTAACTGATACAAAATCAACGACAATTTAAACGCTCAGACCTTTCAACGCACTATGGAATTTGCATAAAACAAAAGTTGGTTGCAGAACTGAGTTGCCTATATGGGCATAAAGTTTTGGAAACTTACGAACTGCTAACTTGGCTAGTTCGCAAAGATGTTCAAATTGAAATGACCTCAGAAACGACGCAGCACTTGCTCCGTTCGTATGGGAACGACTTGGCTTGCCAGAGTTTGAAATCTACATCTTACGGCTTTTGTATATTTTAGAAGTTGTGTGCAAGTTTTTTAGTTTAGAATTGGATGTGTATTTTTTGATATGAATATGTAAATATGTAGAAAGTTTCTACTACATCCCTGGTAATGATATATTTGAAGTGATAGAAATGTCTGAAGCAGAATAAGAGATTGAATACGAATTTGCAATCAGATCGGAATAAATAAACAAATAAACCAACGAAAATCTTTTCTATATTGGCATAATTAAATATAAAAGTAGAAAAATATCAATAGGTTAGACTATTTTGAGACTATGCACATTGCATATTTTTTTAATCCTCGTCTGAGAAGATCAGAGGTATCTTATGATATAAGTTTTTTATAGGATAAGCCGGTAAATGAGCAGACGGGTTATCTGATGGTAAGCAATCGGCGTCGCCCATAGACACCCGGAACACCAGAGGCGCTACAAGTGCGTTACTGGCCTTTTGGGGATTAGGATTTTAAGGATTAATAGAAATTTAATATTTTACCTTTGATATACACCATTACAGGAGCTTGCACATCTTGACGGTTTTCTATGCTCGCTTTGCACCAGTACTGACCAGCTGAATGTGGTGTCACTGTGATCGTTAGGTTTGGAGACTTCCCCACTCTCTGTTACAACAGAACATACATTTAAGATATATTCAAGAAAAGTCAGGTTTTATTTTGATAATGCCATAAATAATAAAGCGATTTCGATCATAATGGCAAGTCTAACTAGATTAGTCCACTATGCAGGAGACTATTATAGTGCACAAGTGTGTGCGTAAGCACTTGGGATGGGACAGCAGAACAATACGATTGGAGAGAGGTCAGACCAACGGGTTTCTTTCCAAAGCTCAGGGGAGGAAACACCGCCGAACCTCTTGACTCTGGACTAATAATGGTCATTTTATTTAGAAAATGCTATTATCTCTTTTTGCCTGATACGAGAATCGAACCCGCGGCACGTTATACAATAATCGGTTACCCAACCACTGCGCCAACCGGAAACAAACTGAAGTGAGTCTACAAGCTCATTTGTGATACCTATTTATTTTTTGCAACTGACTGAAAAAGAAAACATCGACTCTTGCTCTTCCTTGGGCATACGGACTCGTGATTGATTTTCCGCACTGAAATATTTTTTGTTATTCTGCGCCATGTTTATTCTGAACTGATATCTTTCTTACGCTCATTCTCTCTTCTTCTTTCTTTCTATATTTTTGTAGGTACTTACAATAAGTCTCTCGTTCTCGTATCTCAGCCATTGGATTTTCGGAGGTGGATGACCATCTACGATGCAGGACATTATAGCTGAAGATCCCGTTTCACCTTCTACGTTTTGAGGTTTAACTTTGATCGTTGGTCCATCTGTAACAAATTGGATTTTTATAACATCTGATTTAATTTGTGTACCAACTTTTGCCGGCGAGTCCGCGTTAATTTTAGATTACCTATATTATAAACCTTTCTCCTTAGTTTGAGTTACTCTATCGATAAAGAAAACCCCATCCAAATCAATTGCATAGTTTTAAAGATCTAAAAAGTACATATAGAGACAAACAGTGGAAAGCGATGTTTGTAGTGATGTTTGGTGCTATGACTGATTGATTTACTGCATCGTATGTTATGAATACGATGTTATATCGCCAGTACTACATATAGTACTACATTATAGACCTTATTTCCAATGTTTAGAGACTGCTTTTGTATGAACAAATTAAGTGGATGATTTTTAATAGGTTAACAGAAAAATAAATATTACTTTGGTTATGTACGTGTTTCGGTATATCCTTAATTTTGGTTCTTAAGAGACCCTATGATACTTGAGACAATTTTTATTTTATATACCAAACATTATTCCTGATTTTATAGTATTGTTTAAAATTGATTTCAAACACTTGGGGATATACTTCATATCTCTATTTATTCCTATATACAATAAGATTCATTAGCCAAGTTGTTAATGATTAGCTTCATCAAGTTAAAACAAGGCATCAGGAAAAATTGTTAGAAAAATCCAACAGTATAAATTTTAGCCTGCTTTGAGTATAAAATAATATTAAACAGCTAATTAAAACGTAACCGGGTTTAAAATAAACGCCAGCTTGTTATAACTTGATTTTCTTGAAATATACACGTATTTTGATGTAAAATTTAAATTATGGTGTACTAAGTTTAAATATTATAGAAATTGTTTGTATAACATTTTATAATTATGTAGACAGATAACTTATGCCTGCGTTACATTTTTGTTTAGCAAAGGCTGAGTTTTTTTTAAGTTGAAGTTTTTTTTAATAATGCTCGGTATTTCTTCACAGTTCACAAGTTCACATACAAATGACACCCAGACCCGGAACAAGAATCTGTGGATCACACAGAGACCTGATCCGTGCGGAAATCGCGAGCTACTCATGCTTGCCGCCCGCATGCCCGCGCTAACGGTGGCCGGAGATGATTATGAGATGGGTTGAACATAACAATTTAAAAGCCCGAATGAATAGGCTGCATATAGGACAACGTGCTTCATCGTAGACCGCATCATCGCTTACCACCAGGCGAGATAGTGGTCAAACGTCGGCTCATCAAATATAAAAAAGAGAGAGCATCAGAGAGCACTGCTGCCCAGTCTGTATTGAATGAGTAATCTCTTACTGAACTATTACGATGCGGGAAGAATAAGAACGGTGTCAAAGAAACTGTTACACATGCTAATTTTCAAGCACGAAAGTATGCTTTTTTATGGCATAAGCCGGTAAACGAGCAGACGGATCACCTGATGGTAAGCATACGGCGTCGCCCATGGACACCTGGAACACTAGAAGCGTTACAAGTGCGTTACCGGCCTTTTGGAGGTTAGGAGTTCGAGGATCGTTGGGGATTCAGGAATTGCGGAGATTGGGGAAGGGGAGGCTAATTGGGCCTCCGGTAACCTCACTCACACGACGAAACACAACGCAAGCGTTGCTTCACGTCGGTTTTCTGTGAGACCGTCAATTGAGCACTGGTCACTTAATAGCATGTGCAATATTCAAAATTAGCATGCTTATTTCAAGCATGTTTGCGAACCGAGAGGCGTTCGATTTTCGAACACATTTGAACATGCTCAATAGAACGCCTTTTAGCATGCTATTTTAGACCATGTGTAACCGGTAACCGGGGCTCCAGCTCGACGTGCAGGAGAAGGAACGGGGTGGTTTTTAGTCAGTAAGAGTCTGACACTCCCTCCCGCCTCACCCAGGCGGGAGCAGTCATTCGATGATTTTCCCCCCTTAAAAAAAGACCATGTGTAACAGTTCCTTGTTTCTACTCTGTTATCTTGAAAGTATTCTATATAGTAAGTATTAGATATACATAACATAACATAACATCACGCCTTTTATCCCCGAAGGGGTAGGCAGAGGTGCATTTTTATACCACTGTATAAAGTAACAGCCACTTTTCACTATTTATGTTATGTTATGAGTCCCATGTAATAGGGGGTGAGCCTATTGCCATATACCGGGCACAATTCCAGACTCCCTGCTACTACTGAGATTTTTTTTTAAAACCCAGTAATACTTTGCCCGACCCGGGAATCGAACCCGAGACCCCTTCCCCGCAGTCGCACTTGCGACCACTCGGCCAACGAGGCAGTATTAGATATATAAAACCTAAATATTCCAGCATAACCAATAAAGAAGCTGCAAAGAGTAAAATGTTTGCAGAATACACGATGATGGCTGACTGACATACCGTAGCATAAAGGAAGCTTCCCGCTATGAAGATAAAAGAATGAAGACTTATATTTACACTTACTGGAGTAAGTAAGATAAAGCCAGAGTGAGAGAGCTGAATAAAATAAACACACTTTTTTAATGTTGCTAATTAAGAATGGGTATGATTATATACAGCTAAGATTAAATGGTTGCCTCAATGGTTGATTGAATCCTTACTTATCCTTACTAATATTATAAATCGGAAAGTGAGTTTGTTTGTTTGTTTGTTTGTTCCGACTTCACGCCGTAACTACTAAACCGATTGCATTGAATTTTTGCAGACGTAAAGTTAGTAGTCTGGATTAAATAATAGGGTACTTTTTATCCCGAAAAATATCTGATATTCCCGAGGGAAAACAAAAGTATTGGTATAGATGGCGCTGTATGTATTGGTATATGTTACATAGGCTACTTTTTACCCTTTTGTGACGCGAGCGAAGCCGCGGGTAAAAGCTAGTATTTATATAAATGAAAATGACTTCCCGTTCGTTAGTCTAGCTAAAACTCGAAACTTGCTGAACCGATTTGACAAATTTTGGTCTTGAAATGTTTATGGAAGTCCAGGGAAGGTTTGAAAGGTGAGAAAAATAATTTTAGGCTGTACGAAGTTTGCCGGATCAACTCGTTATAATATATTTTTAGTGTGTATCTTGATGCAATGTTATACTTTTTTTTCAGTTAGTTAATCCTTACTAATATTATAAATCTGAAAGTGAGTTTGTTTGTTTGTTTGTTTGTTCCACCTTCACGCCGTAACTACTCAACCGATTGCTTTGAATTTTTGCAGACGTAAAGTTAGTAGTCTGGATTAAATAATAGGGTACTTTTTAACCCGGAAAAAATTGATATTCCCGAGGGAAAACAAAAGTATTGGTATAGATGGCGCTGTATGTATTAGTATTTGGTATATGTCACATAGGCTACTTTTATCCTTTTGTGACGCGAGCGAAGCCGCGGGTAAAAGCTATATATAATAATACAGCTACAACTAAGTGTATAAGTTCTTAGTAACTAAGGTTATTATTGATATTTCGAAAGTAAAAAGTTGCAAGATTTTTCCCTAAGGCGACGGCACACGGCGTTTTTATATACGAACGCGGATAGCAACCTCCTAACCTAAGTACATGGAGCGATCGTGAAATGTGCCTCTACTGCATGTACTTCATGTGCGTGCTTGTATCGTCAATACAAACGCAACAATCTGCGTTTACGGCGCCGAAGACGTGTGTTTCTTATACGGGCGTTGGCTGCGCGTTTGAAAATACGCCGTGTGTTATAGGCCATTAAGCCGAGTCTCAAACTATCAATGACTTCTTGTATGTGATAATAACGTAACATCACGCCTTTTATCCCCGAAGGGGTAGGCAGAGGTGCACATTATGCCACTGTACAATGTAACACCCACTGTTCACTATTTATGTTATGAGTCCCATGTAATAGGGAGTGAGCCTATTGCCTGCTGAGAATTTTTCAAAAACCCAGTAATACTTTGCCCGACCCGAGAATCGAACCCGAGATCCCTTGCCACTCGGCCAACGAGGCAGAAAATAATAAAATAAATTCTTAGTGTTAAATAAAATCGTATGTTAATGTTACTCCTCCATTTGTTATCTACTCCATGTACCCCAACACTGCAACGGAGTATGAAAATGTTAAAACTTTATTAGTCCATTCACCGACTCGAGTGTAAAAATATCTCGTCGAGAATTACCCTTTACATATAATTCTTTATTAAAAAGCGTATCCAACTGCAATGCAATAAAACTGTTGGAAAGTTTTTCAAATAGAGGTAAATTCTTTCATAGATAGATTTTCTTTTTATGAGGTTGTTTGCATTATTATTCACATTGATATTGTGGTCTTGATTTCAAACATAAAACCCATAAATCACAATAGGAAACCCAGCAATGAGGACTGATGAACATTCATGAAATCAGATACAGGCAGTTAAAGACACTTACGCCTCGTCTGAGGATGGAAACAAACAGAAGAAGAATCAATAATAATGAATACGGGTTCCATATTTGAATGAGTAATTTATTTGTCATTTTTATTGTTTACCAATAAGATGCGAAGTTACTACTGTTAAGAACTTTTTTCCTGGACTCGTCTAAAACATCTTAAAAGCTGCACCATTGATAGTGATCTGACAGCTATGTAAATATCGATTTACATAGCTGTCAGATCAAGTGTGAAGTTGTCTCTAAGCAAGCCTTTGTTTACTATTAAAATGACAATATAACCTATAGAGTTTCTTGCTCGTTCTTCTCCATAGGAATTTACACCTTGGAATGAGCAAATAGCTTCACTTTTAAACGTCTCTTGCTGACGTTCTAAAGTGCCTTCCTGGTCTAATTGAAATAAACGATTTTGACTATGACTTTGAATGATTTTTATAATGGTACTAGTTCAAATATAAGAATTGTTACTGTCTATCAGTACCCAATTAATTCACGCAATACTCACGTTACTGTTTGACAAGGAACTCGACTAGTTTCAAGCCATGCTAGAGGTTCATATTCTGTCGCCCCTTTAGCATGCCTTGAAACTGTCGCGGAGAACCTAACTGGTTACCGGGGCTCCGGCTCGACGTGCAGGAGAAGGAACGGGGTGGTTTTTAGTCAGTAAGAGTCTGACACTCCCTCTCGCCTCACCCAGGCGGGAGCAGTCATTCGATGATTTTCCCCCCTTAAAAAAACATGCCTTGAAACTAGTTGAGTTCCTCGTCAAACAGTTACGTGAGTAGACCAAAAACATAATAATCTATCAGCACCTATTCATTATATTATACCTATTCTATTTCTTCAAAAAACAAACACCAAGCCATTCTCTAATTTTAATATCCTCAGTACTCAACTTAAACGGTACAAATACCACTCGTAACAACTTAACATCTAAATCACGAACTCGAAAATGACCTCGCTTGTAAACCTCATTCATTTGTTTCGCACAAGCTCTTTAACCGACGAACAATACGTCTATAGAATGCAAATTTAATAATAGACCAATTATTACACAATAAAGGGCACTTCATACTTTATGAAGAAATACCCTGAATTCACATAATTGTAGGTAAATGACTATAATTCTGTATTGTATCAAGTACTCTTCAAAGTTTGAGCGAAACCGTTTTAGTTGACCACTTTATATTGATAGGCGGTACTGCTTTTCGTTTTGTTTTAGATTTTATTTAGCGTTCTTTTGGGTGAAGACTGCCTCGTTGACCAAGTGGTCGCACTGCCGGGCAAGGGGTCTCGGGTTCGATTCCCAGGTCAGGAAAAGTATTACCTACTGGTTTTAAAAAAAAGTAACACCCACTTTTCACTATTTATGTTATGATTTCCATTTAAATAGGGGATGAGTCTATTGCCATACACCGAGCACAATTCCAGACTCCGTACTACCTACTACTGAGTTTCTTTTTGAAACCCCAGTAATACTTTTGTCCGACCGGGGAATCGAACCCGAGACCACTTGCTCGGCAACCGCGCTTACGACCAATCAGCTAACGAGGCAGTACTTACAAAATAAAATCATATAAAAATTTACTCTAGACTCCACTTAGGTAAATAGGTACCGTAAAAACTGCATGACACTTACCCACATGAAGCAGGCCAACCGGCTAATGACGGGCCGAAAAACCTTCATCAGTAAGTAAATAAATAAAAGTATCTTCCAAACAACCCTAACCCAAAACAAAGGGAACCTCCTCTCCTTCCAAAACATACAAAACAGAGGCAAACAAACGAACAAACAAACACGAATTCGGAGTAAAACATTCGAATGTTTAATACGTGATTAGAGAACAAAGAGAAATCATATTTCATTCTACATCCTTTGGGAAAATGGAAGTAAAAAAAACCGGTCAAGTTCGAGTCAGACACTCGTACGAAGGGTTTTGTAGCATTCATTAATGTATTCATTCCAGCAATAAACAGTATTAAACTGTCAAACACCAAGCGGTCACCGGTGACCGCAATCCATTGTTCTTTAATTGTGTCTATAAATACGGTACTCGACGAGTTAAAATCAGCATTAATAGTATCTATTACGTTTTCATTTATTTTTTAAGTGAATAGATTTAGAATTTTTTTTATGGCATAAGCCGGTAAACGAGCAGACGGATCACCTGATGGTAAGCAATCGGCGTCGCCCATGGACACCTGGAATGCCAGAGGCGTTACAAGTGCGTTACCGGCCTTTTGGGGATTAGGAGTTTAAGGATCGTTGGGGATTCAGGGATTGGGGAGATTGGGGGAAGGGGAGGATAATTGGGCCTCCGGTAACCTCACTCACACGACGAAACACAATTCCCATTCGTGCCGAAGCATGGCTCTCCCACACTTAGCATTTAATTTATATCGTCAAAAATCATAAGAAACACAATCAAGTCTGTTTATTAACAATACTAGCTTCTGCCTGATACTTTTTATGTGTTATTCTAAACTATAATCTATCTATGTTCCAAATTCCACCCTGACCCCTTCCGCTGTATAGACATGAAGGTGTAACAAACAAAGAAATGAACATACAAACTTTGACGTCTATAATATTAGTACTTTTTGGTACAGCAGCGGCTACAGAAATACACCATCTGTCGAATTTTAAACTGTATAGCTATGACGATTCATGTAATGATGAACAGCTTGGAAATAGACAGTCGGACGAACAGCGGAGTGTTTTTTTTAAGGGGGGAAAATCATTGAATGGCTGGTCCCACCTGGGTGAGGCGGGAGGGAGTCTCAGACTTTTACTGACTATAAACCACCCCGTTCCTTTTCCTGCACGTCGAGCCGGAGCCCCGGTAACCCGTTAGGTTCTCCGCGACAACAGCGGAGTTTTACAGTTCCATTTAACCTCTTTAGGCACGGAACCCTAAAAAGCAGCCATATTTAGTTTCCTGAAAGCCAAATTTCATTGTCATCGAACCATTTTTAAAAGGAACAATAGACTTCACAAAGGATTTCGTCTGTTTTTTTTTTAATATTGAGTTTGCCTTTGACCAACCAGTCATAGTTTGTCATATAACCATCGATACGCGTTTTGTGGTCTGTTTTCAAAATATTGGTTTCGATTTGATTCACAATAGCATTCAATATGGAAGCGTTTCTGACGAGTTGTGTTTTGATTAAAATCTGGTTTTTTGATATCAGATTGTAGTTTGATAGTGCTAGGTTTAAGAGACAGTATTGCGTATAAGTACCAATGTGACTTTTTCCGAGTTATAGGTACTTTCTAAGATTATTTAAACACCACTGACAAACGGTGAAGGAAAACATCACAAAGAGTACCTATTATAATTGTTGATTAACAAACATGCTAAAACATCACGCCTTTTACCCCCGAAGGGGTAGGCAGGTGCACATCATGCCACTGTACAATGTAACACCCACTTTTCACTATTTATGTTAAGAGTCCCATGTAATAGGGGGTGAGCCTATTGCCATATACCGGGCACAATTCCAGATTCCGTGCTACTACTGAGAATTTTTTTAAAACCCAGTAATACTGTGCCCGACTCGGGAATGGAACCCGAGACCCCTTGCCCGGCAGTCGCACTTGCGACCACTCGGCCAACGAGGTCATACATCACATAGACAGTCATATATCCATAAATGTACACAAATATTTAACTACTCAAAAGAAAAAAAAAATTCCAAAGCACGCAACCAGGAAAAAATACTGCAAAGATTTCGCATTAAAATAAAACACTAGATGCGACAAGCGTTCACATCGCTCCGTAGAATCATGAATTCACCGAACCGCAACCTAAGTGACGAGGTATTATAATTCTTGAGTCGGCACTTACAGGCCACTTCCAGAGTTTTGGTGTCAGCACTTTTCCCAACCTGGTTGTGAACTTCGCACTTGATCGTCGCTTCGTTGAACCTCCTTGATATATTTGATAGTATCTGTAACAAAGGTAGGAGTTAAATTTACTGTGAAATCCTTAATGAGGTTGTAGAAAAATGTTCTAAAAAGGTAGATTTATTGGGATGCAATTTTATGCCTTTGTGGAGTTACATTGGTGAGGTTTTGGGGTATAAAGAGATAATATTGAATTTAACTTTTGTATAACTATTTCATATTACATAAGGCTCATTTTAAAGTCTTTAATGTCATTTATTATTACAATCATCATTGATTCCTAATCAATAACATTAATGTATAATTTAAAATATGAAATGTATACTCAAGAAATGTCCGATCTGAAATCTTATTAACCTCAGAAATTTAAACCCCAATGACTAGTTCAAAATGAACATTCATACCAAGAACCTCACAACGTAAATAATACCGCCAAAAACATTCAGTCAACTAGCTGACTATAACAATGGGGCTAACAACACATCTAGCTAAAAATGAGCACGTCTCTGAGGTAACTATGAAACTCGTTACACAATACAACGTTGCAAGACAAAGCCAATTATAACACACCTCCCAACATTCCCGTAGAAAGAGCAGTTACACTTGTAAATAAAATATTTAATAAGCCAAAAAATACTCCAAACATGCTCCTCAAGTATGAAACATCTGATGTAAAATGCATATTGCAGGTACATGGTGTGCCAAGAAGAAGAAATTTGAAAATTCTCTCTTATATTTTCCGAGTACGCCTTCAGGAACCATGCAAATAAGCTTGGTAAAATTTAATATAGTGTACAGAATTAATGGGGAAAAGACACTGGAGATGATATAAGATACAAGGCCGTTACTTTGTTTTGGATTTTTAATGGTGCCTCCGAAAATTGGAATATGTTACTCTTAGATTACCTTACTCGTACGCGTTACAGAATTTACATTTGAATGTTTCCAAAAAGAATTTTTAAGTTGATGTTATGTTCTGTTTTTCGTTGGAATCTGGATTTATTTTGACGTGTCTTTGAAGGTATCTAGAGCGATATTCTCTAGGGATTTGTACGAAGCTTTCTAAGTAAAAAACAGACTGTCTGTCGTTATGTATCTACGTGTTGAAATCACAAGGGAGGTCAAGGGCAATCTTCTGTAAACAGGTACTAGGTAAAGAATTCTATTCACCAGGGAAAAATGAGCATTGATTAGCACGCTTTCTTATTGTGTAGACTAACAAATTTTTGTAGGTCGTCTAACGTTTTTCTTTATTGTACTTCAGTAGTGTCTGAATGAAACACAAACTATATTGAAACACGCATCACTTTCACAGGTTTCCCTTGCAAAGCGAACACATTTACTTCCAACCCGCCATGACTCGTTTACCTATTTCCATAAAATAAATTACCTTAATTGTTTGCTCTATAGCAGTGTCAACAAAAGAAATTGACATGTAGATGCAGCGGCATTGACGCCAGTTACTAGCCTCACCTATGAACACCCATTTGCCTGATTAAAAAACGCTATTTAAAATCGATACTAGTTAAATGACTCGCGCGAATTCTCGAATGGTTGGTCTTCGAAGGAATTCAAGCTCGACCCAGTTTAACTAAAGCAATGACCTAGATAAATTAAATTCTACTGAATGAGGAGCTCTGTTACTGAAAAGCTAGTATTACAAACTTTTTCATAACGTCGCTTTGTGACTTTTGTTCGTGGACATTTCTAGAAATAAATGTTATGAAGGACCTATGTGTCACATTTTCCAGTTATTTGTTTCATTCGTTTTATACAGGGTAAGTTTAGCACTAATATTATTAGTCCATATCCAGACTTTAATTTTCAAATCCAGATCTTTTTCTTTTACAATCTCTGGCTGGATTTAGGTGTTGCATTGTTCTCACACAATCGAACCAACAAAACTATGTAACTGGAGAATTGTATTGTAATAAATAATTTTGACTTTGAAGAAAGTTACTAATCCCTCGACACTCGAGAACTAAATTTTGAACTTGTTCTGTTTGAAAATCGCAACTAGTCAATCAGCAGTTGTTGTAGTTGTATAATTCACAAAATATCACAAGATTAGCCCTGAATTTTTGTCGCACTGTTTTCAACCTAATCAGGCTACGTTTGTTATAGTAATATTAGTCTAAATACTACAATTACGTACAAACTAGACAACATTCAAATTCTTATATTAACTGAAGAAAACTCCTGTGTCCATAAATATCAAACACAATCCTTTTGTCATCATTTTATCTAACACTAAAGAAAAAGTGTTATCTTCAACCATATCTTTAAAAAAATTACGCATGTCCTCACAGACAACATTAAAATTTCATTATAAATTAATATCTTTACTTGCACAATTGATCCTGTTACTTATTATTCAGTAAAGCTGATTTTTCCCACGCCAGATAAATTTGAACTAAAGAATAATTTTAAATAATTCTTCGATACTAATGTATGTTATGTATAGTTTATATTTTGTATGTATTTATTTGTATATTGTATGTATTCGTTTGTTTTTTTATCTCTAAAGTTTTATGTATGTTTTCTATCTCAATTTTGTATTTGTTATTAGTTACACACTGTGTCATTATATCATTATTACTTTTCCTGTCACAGGTCCACAGGAAGAAATTTCTATAGGAAGTTGTGGTACCTCTGTGCTTTAATCACTATTATATAAAGCGGAAGAGTTTGTTTTTTTATTTGAACGCGCTAATCTACTTAACTACAAGTCTGTTTTGAATAATTCTTTTTGTGTTGGATAGCGCATATATCGACAATGGCTATAGGCTATAAAACATCACGCTACAACTAATAGGAGCTTAGCAGAGCTTGTGAAACCGCGCTGAAGTAGCTAGTTTTATATATGTGTTGTCCTTTATGTTGTATGTGTGTACATAAATAAATAAATAAAAACTATCAAATGTCAATTTAATCCTACAGTTAAAAAATAACTGGCATCTAGACATTTAAACTGTCAAACACCAAGCGGTCACCGGTGACCGCGACCTATTGTTCTTTAATTGTGTCTATAAAACCGGTACTCGACGAGTTAAATTCATTTTTCATTACATGATTGGTGAATGGTCATACTTAGTTCAGAAATGTTGTGTCCACTTACCAATTCATTGCTTATGTCACCAGCAATATGTTCATTGTTGACATACCATTTGTATGTAAGATTGTTGGGATTCGCACTGGCTTGACAACCTGTGAAACAATACATATGATTCAATACATTTATTTTAGGCTGTATAAGCCCTTCTTAAATACTATAAACTAATATATTAATGATAAGGTTATACAACGTAAACTGTATGGGGGTTTTGGGGGGGGGGTTCCAACTAATTATATAGATTAGAATTGTATTTTGTTAATAAAGATTTACTTTATCAGGGAAATTACCTTAAAACCTACGTTTTATGTCATCAGTAATTAGTTTCCCAACATAATGATCAAATTATCTAGTGTTACATCATTTAGTAAATTAATATTACAATCTAATTTGCTGATTCCCGGGAAACACTTTAAAGGCTTGATTTTTCACGACATTGAAGATAAGATGCTTTTCAAAAAAATCCAACTCAAAAGGATGTTTATGAAAAGAATTAATTAATTTCGTATAACCTTGATGAAATGTTACCAAAATTTTTATTCAGCTAAGCAGTCTTTATGCGTAAGTATTCAATAAAATTAATAGGGGACCCAAAATCGACCCTTGGGGTATGCCTACGAATGGCAATGAACTTTTATGGGTTGATTAAAAAAGTATCGAAATTGATGGTCAGAACTTGGTTGATTTTTGTATTTAGACCTAGGCAAATGATTTAATTGTGTTGGGCACTAATAAAAAAAGCTTTTTGACATTTTCACCACGTGGAAACCATTTCTTAACTAAAACTTACTTAGTCTGACGTAGCACCTAAACTATCCCCTTACTTGTACTCTTAGGTGTCACTTATAAGTTGGTGTAAAACCAAAATGTCGTTAAACGTCACTTATCTGAGCATAGAGATTCGTTACAATTTAGAACAGGTTGATAAAAACGGGTATAAATAAACTAAGATTAAATATAAATTCTGAAATACCACGTAATGTATAACAAAAATTAATTCACAGCAATTGACTTGTCTAGGGATCAAAGTTGAAATGAAAACTAACCAATTACGACCATATCTCCTTCTTGAATGCTTCCTTTCAATATTCCAGACTTCACGAACATTCGAACTTTCGGTGCGTATTGTACCTGAAAAAGAATAAGAATGTTAGATTTCTAGTAAAAAATCTTTATTAACAATTTCGTCTTAGAATTATGTTTGTATGGTAGGGGAGACCGGGGATGGTAGGCTATAGGGGTAGGTTGACTAATCGGCAATAACACGTCAGGATCACGTGTTTTTAATAAGCCAATCACAATAAAGGATTCGTCCTCGCGTCCCTCAAACCTGTGTGAAGTTCGCACGCACAGTCGCGAAGCGTGCTTGAGTGGGAACAGTTGTTGTGTTTTTTTATGCGGTAAGTAAATTTTTCCGTTCGTACATTTTTTGTTATTGTCGTTATGTAACTATTTAAATCAATGTTACTGGTATGCCAAGTGGAAATATGATTATTACTTTCTATGTAACAAAGCGTGGCTTTTATTTTAACGTCATTGTTTAAAGATGCCATGCGGTTGAATTCCAAAATGGCGTATGGGGCTAGTTGGCCAATTTTCTTCGGGGTTGGTTGACTTATAGTCAACTAACCCCTTATAATAAAGTATAAAGCGATTTTGTAGGCTAATGGTTATTACAAATCTATTCTTGAAACAAAATTTAGCACTATGACGGTCTTCTTTCACATAATTAATAACAGTTGTATAATTCCAGATAATGAGGACGTATAAAAAAACCACCGAAAGAGGGGAGACACCAAAATGTGTACTAGAAAAAGCTTGTCACGACGTAATCTTCGATAACAAAAGCATTTACTCCATATCAAAAGCATACCAAGTTCCATATAAAACATTACATCGATATGTAACCAAACTGAAGCAAAAACTAGAAAGTAATCCAAATCTTACAAGAGCTGACTTGACCTTGGATACGGTAGGGTATATTAGAAATAGACAAATATTCAATGATAATGAAGAAAATAAACTTGCTGATTATTTGAAGAGGGCTGCTGATATATATTATGGACTAACACCCCATGAAACACGAAAATTTGCATACGAATATGCAAAAAAGAATAACAAATCAGTACCTGAATCTTGGAACACAAAATTAATGGCTGGTGAAGACTGGCTAGGAAGTTTTCTTAAGCGTCATCCCTCGTTATCTATAAGATCACCTCAAGCTACAAGCCTGTCTAGAGCGACGTCGTTCAACAAAAAAAATGTAAGTGAGTTCTTTACTAATTTGAAAAAAGTTTATGAACGCTTGAATCTTAGCCCAGGTGATATCTGGAATGTTGACGAGACAGGACTTACAACAGTCCATGTACCTAATAGAGTTATAGCTCGTCGGGGTATTAAAAACTTGGGTAAAATGACTTCAGCTGAAAGAGGCACCTTAGTTACAGTGGCAGTAGCCGTTTCAGCTCTAGGCAACATGGTTCCACCTTTTTTTGTTTTCCCAAGAGTTCATTTTAAGAATCATTTCCTTGCCGCGGGCCCAATAGGATGCGATGGAGATGCAAACCCATCTGGGTGGATGAAGGAGATAAATTTCATAAAATATGCCAAGCATTTTGTGAAACATGTGAAACCAAGTAAGGAAAAGCCTATTTTGCTGCTGCTGGACAATCACGACTCTCATTTGTCGATAGAGGTTCTCGACTACTTCAAAGATAATGGGGTGACAGTTTTATCCTTTCCCCCTCATTGTAGTCATAAATTACAACCTCTAGACAGAAGTGTTTATGGCCCGCTAAAGAAATATTTTAACAGAGCTAGTGACAACTGGCTAGCTAGTCACCCTGGAAAGACGATTACAATCTACGACATTCCGGAATTGTTAAAAACGTCTCTGCCAATGGCAGCTACGATCGAGAACATACAATCGGGATTCAGAGTCACTGGGATTTCGCCACTCAATGAAAATATATTTCCGGAGTCTGAGTTTAGCGGAGCTTATGTGACTGATAGGCCACTACCAGACCCACAAAATGGTAGCATTTCCTCAACCGCAAGTAGTGCTAAACCAGGACCATCAAGTTCGTTGGATAATGCAGGCCCCTCAAACATTGCAAGTACAGCTGCTATACCAACAAGTCCAATAGTTACTTTACACCAAACTGTTGAGCTTCCTATTGAAAGGTCTTCTGTGTTGCCTGGTAGATCAAGGTCGTCCAGTACTGATTGCGAATCACCTTCTATTCTTGATGAAGAACACGTACCAGAAGAACTAGTGATAGAAAACACACTTTTGTCAGGTATTAGAGCTCGTTCATTTGTAACACCACCACCATCAGGATCCAATCAAGACATACCTTCACAAACTGAAAAACGTCCATTTATAACACCACCTCCATCCGGATCTGATCAAGATATACACCCGCAGACTGAATCACGCCTATTAGAATCTGGATCTAAGAAAGGTTTTCTTCTACCCGAGGATATTCGACCTTTTCCAAAAGCAGCAGCTCGGGTAGGAAATAGAAAAAACATTAGGAAACGAAGAAGCACCATATACACAGACACTCCTGAGAAAGAAAATCTTCTTGAAGCCAAAATGAAACAAATACGGAAGAATACTATTAAAAAAATGAAAAAAGAAAAAACTACACCTAAAAGTAAAGCGAAGGATAAGGGCAAAGGCAAGGGAAAAGGAAAGGGAAAGGGAAAGAAAACTAAAAATAATGAAGATGAAGGAATGGACGTTTCAGATGTAAGCGACGACGATGACACATTTTGCCTAGAATGCACCGAGTCTTATACTGCAAGTGCACCTGGTGAAGAATGGGTCCAGTGCATTACGTGCAAATTATGGGCTCATTCTAAATGTGCAAAAGGCAATTTGCTATTTTACGAATGTAAAAATTGTCTTTCAGATCTAGAAGACTGATTTAAAAATATACTTACATTATTTAAATAAGATAGTATGTGTTAGAAAAGAGTTTTTTGTTTTTATACTATAATTGATGTAAAGTCATTAATACTTAAGAAAATGTTGTTAGAATAATTATAAGACTGAACAACACGAGACTTTACACTATTTTCATTGTTTTTTTTTTTTAGATATTTCCAAGTTTATGGATGTTGATTGATCTCTGACTTGATTTGTAATAAGAATAATTTACGTTCATCTTCAAATTGTTTGTTAATTAAACAAATAGTGAATATATTGATAATTTAACCAACTTTAATAATTTAAGTGACTGTTATATTTTCTTTAACTTCGTGATACCCAAGAATAGATCACAAATTTAAGTTCTCTTACTTTAAAATAAAAAGCTACTTACGTTTATTAGTAATTTTCGTTGTTTTTCTTTATCAATCCCTTTAGTTACACCAATTACGGCCTTAGTCAACCTACCCCATGCTTATGGGCGACCTACCCCGGATATGGGGCAGGTTGACCAAGAGGCAAGGGTTTTGAAAATCGTCAAAATAATTATTATAACGATAAATATTTAGGTATCTAATTAGTGTTCTAGGTACCTGGATAGTTCCTCTATCTGTGAACACTGTCATTTTCTTTTTATCTACTCAAATATTGAACATATAGCAGCTTAAGTGAAAACCTAGTCAACCATCCCCGGTCTCCCCTACCCAGACACATAAACTTCTCTTGTAAACAGTTCTCGAGAAATTCAAAAAACTTTTCATCCAGATAACGATCTTAATAGGCGTAGCTTCACCAGAATGTCGACGACACGAAATCCTATTTCGTAGTTTTACCAAAATTAAAGTAACTACAAGTCCGATTTGAATAAAACATCATGCTACGACCAATAGGAGCTGAGCAGAACGTGTGAAACCGCGCGGAAGTAGCTAGTTGATTATAAATATGTCTAGAAAGGTGTCTTTTAACAAAGATAATAACTGTCTTTCAATAAATGTTGCTGTACCTTTACAAGATCCTTAGCTTTAAGCCTATTGTAACACCTAATTCATTTTATAGTATGCACATAATTGAATTTGAAATATGAATATCATAGAATGAAATTGTTGTTAAACTTGTCTCAAGTCAAAGTACTAAAAACGAAGGAGAAAATGAGAAAGATATTTCAAAAAAACACCGTCAATTTTTAAGGAACAAAACAATACTGCGAGGAACGAGAACCAACCGTTACAAATCGAGTCGACCTAAAAATCCTTAACAATTTTTCACTGGAATCTTTAAAAAAGACTGTTTTAAAAATAAAAAGGGATGGCGAACCATTTTTCGTTGTGTCCAAATCAGAAACTGTTTTCTTGTAGTTGTAAGGTGGAGAGAAACACGTGGCAGCAAAGAGGGAGGAAATAAAAATGGAACGTCTAGTTCTTGTGGGACCTTCGATAGTTTTGTTTGGGTTCGTTTTCCACGGATGTCTTTTATTTTATTTCGTGTGTGAAAATGATCACAGATATTACTATCTGTACTTGTTTCTGTTTGTTATAACCATAACTATTATTTACGAGACAGCAATAAACAAAATGAAATCAGAATAGTCTTATTTCGTTATGAAATAGGAGGCAAATGAGACGACAAATCAAATGTAAATATCAAAGTTATAATTATCAACAAATTCTTAGTAAACTGTGTAGGTGGTTATACCACGTGCAACCCACACGAGCTAATAGTACCTCTTGTAATGGATTTTGAATTTTAATTGATTTAAGAAGATAAAACATTTTTCTATACTATAGGGTAGTAAGTCGGCGAGATTCCACGGGCTTCTTTCCAGCTAGATGTAGTCCCGTTCAGAGGTTTGCTTTAACTTCTCTGTTTTTTATTGGGATCGAGTCCCCATCCGATGAATTTGCCACGGGCCCCGAACGATATTGTTACGCCACCCACTACCATATAGATCTGTGTTAAATTATACTTAGTACTACTTTACTCAGCTTGAACAAAGGCTTATCTACAAGATATCGCTTCATGAAACAAAAGGTGTTACTTTAAACTACCTCTTTACTAACCCGTTCAGATACTAGCAGTAATATTTTACAACTGATTGTTTAAGACTAGGTATAGCCGAGCATTTTAAAGGCGTATGATATTGGACGCAAGCCAAACTGGTATGGCAGGCACCATATATAATTTGGAGAGGTTCTGCAAG